AGTTAGGATAATATAATTGACATTGCTGGATTCCTTGTAAGACCAGGAATATTTTGAATATAAAGTCATATATTTTGGACAAAAGATAACATAGTTACCTAGAGAAAAATTTTTATCTAAAAATTGTATGTTTAATGCAAAATATATGTTGTTTATATTCAAAATGATCACCAAATTATAAGAATTCCAGCAATGTAAATTATATTCTGACCTGGTAATTTGTATGAATTTTATGAGCTAAAACAAATATCTTCAGTTAATAAAAAAAAAAATAATCTTCACCGGGTAACAGATGGTCGGTCGGTTGGTCCCTCCCTCCCCCCCACCCCCCACCAACCGTCCCAAGGAGATGTGTGGGATAACCACTAAATTTTAATAAATAATACCTCAAACTAAAGTTAGGATAATATAATTGACATTGCTGGATTCCTTGTAAGACCAGGAATATTTTGAATATAAATGTCATATATTTTGGACAAAAGATAACATAGTTACCTAGAGAAATATTTTTATCTAAAAATTGTATGTTTAATGCAAAATATATGTTGTTTATATTCAAAATGATCACCAAATTATAAGAATTCCAGCAATGTAAATTATATTCTGGCCGGGTAATTTGTATGAATTTTATGAGCTAAAACAGGCAGTCAGGCAGGGTGGCGGGTGGGGCAAATCTAAAAATAGCATCCGAGCCGGACACTCACCGCGTAGCTGTGGAAAAAACCCGCGTTAAGTGAAAGTTCAGCTTTGGCAAGGCACCGCGTATACAGCTTTGGCAAGGCACCGCGTATATGCGAAAACGCGTTAAGTGAAAGCGCGTTAAGCGGGGTAAAACTGTATATATATATATATATGCTGATAACCACAAGGAAAGAAGAAAACATGAAGTTCCCAAGCGCTTGGGAACTTCGTGTTTTCTTCTTTCCTTGTGGTTATCAGCATATACCTAGATCACGCGCACCTCCAGTGATTTACTTGCGCGCACGCACGCACACAGAGAGAGAGAGAGAGAGAGAGAGAGACCCAAATCCAGGTCGTAAGTCCGACATAAAAAAAAATTAAATAAAAAATTTACAATGAAATACAGTACAGTAAAAGTAATAAATAATGAGGAATGGATACAGTGTGACTGAGCACTTACCTTTAATGTAGTCAACTGAATGCACATGGGGCCCCCATAATTTTCTAATTATACATGGCGACTACATTAACTGGAAACGTTTCGGTATAGAAAATGTGTGCGTCATTTGAAGAAAAAAACAAATAAAAAAACATAAAAAAAAAAATAGTGCAAACTGCGTGATTAAGTAGTCCGGCGATTAGGTAAGAATCCGAAGCAGTGTGAAGTGGGGGTCTAGCTGTATATAATTTGGGGGTCGGGATTGACGGTTAATCCGAAAGTCTGTTAATCGAGGGTCGGTTAATCGAAGTTTTACTGTATAATGATACAATGTTAAAATGGTTGCTCAAAGTGTATCAGGTATGACAATTTGCATAATCATACCCTGAGTCGTCTGCTTGGAGCGATGGAGTATGTCTTGTCGTAGTTGAAATTGACTGAATGGAAGAGGTAACTTTGGAAGATTGTTCTCCTCCCCCGATTCTAGAGCAAAAATGACTGCAGACCACAAAAGATCCAGTCGTTGTTCGTCTTTCAATTGCGAGAGATTGAACGAGGATACAGGCATCACTGGTCTAGACAAAGTGTCTGCGACCACATTTGCACATCCCGGTAAATACTGGAAGACGGGTTCAAACTCTTGGATGGTCAGATACCAGCGTGATAATCTGCCTGAAAGATTCTTACCGTGGAACAGCTCTGTAACTGCCACGTGATCACTGTGAACGGTCATTTTATAACCTCTTGTGTCTCGCTGCATGAGTACAGATCCAAGACCTTGTACCGAGGCGTCGGTATACAGAGTAAATGGTTGAGTGTAGTCAGGGAATGCTAAGACGGGAGCATTGGTAAGTACGTTCTTCAGTGCAATAAAACTATCCTCTCGTTCCGCATTCCAGACAAAAATTGCTTCCTTCCTAAGCTTCGTCAAAGGTGAAGATAACGACGCATAACCCTTAATAAAAGAACGATAATATCCAGACAAACCTAAAAAACTACACACCTTATCGATGTTTTGAGGACGAGGGAACTGTGCTACAGCTTTCGCACAGCATCGTATATCTAAAATCAGTTGTGTAGTCTATATCGTTATTATCTATTAAATATAAATGTAATCTAATCCAGTGGAAGGGCATTTTGGAGACCGAATGGCATCCGTAAAAACATAAATGGCCCAAAGGAGTACTGAAAGAAGTAATCTCTCGAGACTTCTTGTCAAGAGGAATTTGCCAATACCCGCTAAGCAGATCAAGGCTGCTGAATACAGTATTATCCTTACCTAAAGACTACAAAATATCACTCAGGACAGGCATTGGGTACCTATCCGAGATAGTACTGTACTTTCGTTGACTCGCTTAAAATCAATGACTGGGTGCCAACCACCATCTTTCATGGGGACTAAAAACAAAGGACTATTGAAAGGCGATTTTGAATGTGCGATAACCTCCTGATCTAACATATCCTGTACCATGTCCTGAACTACAGCCCACTGGCTATGTGGTAGTCGGTATGCTGGTATGTAAATTGGGTGTGTTCCCGATTTTAAGGATATGTGATGTGAGGTTAAATTTGTGTGACCTAGCTGTTCCCCTGGTAAAGCTACACTGTTCCTATAGACAGCAAGCAACTCCAGGAGTCTAGTCTTGCCTTGAGGGTGATCAATCACCTTAACATGTGGTGATATTTGATCTATCCTCTCCTGTCCGGTTTGCTTAATTGAAGGTGAAACACGACCAATTGGAAACTGTCTTGGCTGTAAAGCGACATGATTCTGATAAATCAGAAAATCACACAATTAACATCCTTCTTTCAATATTCTCAAAGCGCCTGTTCTGTTGAGAACTAAGACATCAGATAAACCACCAGGACGAATCGAACGGTCTCACCGCATCAAAGTTTAGGACGTTGCAGAATGTGGTAAAGCAAGAAGGCTGTTGCTGATACTGCTCTGACTGCATAACCAAAGTAAACGAGGCTTTTGAGATCATTAGGGAATGAAAAACTTGGAGATGAAACTTGAGCAAGTTAGGAAAGAGATCCTCACTAAGACTGAGGAAGTAGCTGATAGAATGGAGGGATTAGTGAAGAGGAGTTATGCTCAGGACCACAGAAGGTGGCGTACAGTAATGCAGGGTCTGAACAGGTCCTCCAGCAGCTAGGGACTCTGTAGAAGTGTGTTGAAGAGATGGCAACTAGCAGACATACTGTAAGGGGAGAGGAGGAACAATGGGAACGTTTCGAGCGCAGGAACAACGTAATTATTTTTGGAGTCCCTGAGAGTCAGTCAGAGGAAACTGAGATTAGGAAAACACATGATAAGATGAAGTTTGAGAATATTTGAAAGAGAGACTGAAAATGTCAGCCCCACCTCCCCAGGATGTGAGGAGGTTAGGACAAAAGCAGAACAAGCCTTGCCCCCCTCATGGTCACACTTGTGAGTGAGGATGAAAAATGGAAAATTATTCGGCTGGTAAAAAACCTTGCAATGAGCGATGCATTTTGGAATATATTCATTCACCCAGATCACACAGTAATGCAGAGGGAAGAGCACTAAAAACTCCTTTGGTGCATGAAGCAGAAGAGGGAGGATTTGATGAGGAACAGGGACGGACATGCATGGGTTATATTATATACAAGGGGAAGGTAGTGGGAGTAAGAGCGCCAGCACAGAACCAAGGGACAGCGGAACACCCTCCACCCACTCTGTCTCCCACCCAGGAGGAGGTGAGCGCCATGTAAACAATGTCATCTCTGACCACACCCCACAAAATATAATGTATTTAGCAAACGCTACAGCTACTGAGAATGGAGGGAGGCTGGTGTTACTACCAAGACCAGAGACGTTACCTAGAACAAATTCCGGCTTGAAAGTCATGTACACTAATACTGACATGTTCCTTAATAAAAGAGATTAGAGCGCCTGCAACTGCCTAGCTTATACTACAGACAGGTGAGGGGTGATCTAACTGAGGTATATAAACTTCTCAAAGGACACTACTCAGTCAACTACCCATACCTGGAGCTGGCGGACGCCCGTCCCTCAAGGGGTAACAGTTCAAAATTGAAGAAGCTGCAAGTCTAGAAAACTGTGAGGGGTAACTTTTTCGGAATGAGAATTGTGAACCCTTGGAACAACTTGCCAGTGTGTTATGACGGCACCGAGTGCGAGCTCTTTCAAGACCAGACTTGACCAACACTGGAGCAGGTTCAAATACATTAAGGAGCCGGTGCATGCCCAGTACTTGCCAACAGTGTGTAACAGAGACATGACTGACCACCCAAGAGGCTAATGAGCCGATCAGTGGTGAAGAGGGTAAAAGTAAAGTAAAAGAACAACAAATACATATCAAGAGTAGATGGGAGTTTTGGGGGGTGGCTGATCCCTAACCTCCCAAATTTATTATATTCTTATGGGAATTATTGTTTCAAAAACCGTTGATTCACCGTCTGTTGACGTTTTGCAGTCCACATATGTGTCAGTTCTTAAGGTATGCCTGTATATATTGTTCGACCTCCTACTTTTTGCATAAAAGTTTGATTATAAAAACTAGATCTGTACTTGAGTAGTACAGTATCTACAGTAATTTAATTTCCACTAAACTTTACTTAACCTTAACTCCATGGCTCAAAATTTTTGACACCCAAAGTCTAGTAATTGAGTTAGTTTTCCGTTTTATTTTGCCCCGTACAGTACAGTATCTTAATCATGGAATGAACAGTGGCAGGAGTCATACCCAACATTGTCACCACTCTCAGCTCTTTTTATAACTTCTGCAGAATGATTATGAAGTGTTTTCAGCATTAATATACAGTAGAGCATAAGACATTTTTAACTGGAATAGCAGTCCATATAACTTGCATTCATTACATTTCTTTACAGTTACAGGAGAAGTGTGCACGGCCGTGTTTATCGCTGTCGAACCAGAGCAACGACGAGGACAGTGACTTGGACTTGCAGTGAGCATTAAAGGGAACACTTAAGTCATTTTGTAAGGAAACTGGTCAACAGTAGATGAATACATACTTTCATAACTCATCTTTACTTGTTTTATATATATATATATATATATATATATTCACTATCATGTGATGACATTATGCATAAAGAGCTTTGCTAAGCCATTTATGGCATTAAAGGAAATACATAAATTATAGACATTATTTAATGAAAAATAAAGGTTGAGTTTAATATAATACAGTATAGTATAGTATACATGCTTGCTACTTGTAGGCACTCAGTTTGTCAGACGCTGTTGTGGACATGGACATTAAAGCTGGGGTGAGAAAGATAATTGTGGTATTTGTTGGTTCTTATCAGTGTTTGTTTCCTCATTGTTGTGTTAAAGATAATGTCATCTTGAATGGCACCATTTGATTACTGACACTTACAGTTAATGTCTATTGTGAATTTGTCTTACTTTAATGATTTTATTCTGCTGAAGGATAAATGGGTTTGTTAGTTGACAAGTGTTATGAGGCTGTACACTTTTTGTAAACTGTGTATGTGTAATTGTTCCATATCTTGTGGGTATGTTAATGAGGAATACTCTTATATTATTCATAAGGAAATTTCTGTTCCCAAATTATCTGTCTCTTTTAGCACTTGTAAGTACATATTTTGTTCACATATTAATGTAGTGTGTTGTGTTGTGTGTGCAGTTTTAAGCCTTCAGTCTGTTCATTATGCTTTGATAATCTTGATTATGTCACTTAAAGTTATTTACATTATTAGCTGCTACTGCTGCAGAACAAAAGGGTACATTAATCTCAGTCACAACCAAGGCATATTTTCTTTTATTACTCAATATTTTACTAATGTGCTTTTATGTTCTTTCAATACATTTTTGTTTTTAGACTGGTAACCTGGATTAATTCTTGCAAAAATAAGTTACAAAATAATTTGTAGTGTACAGGCTAAAAGTTGGGAGGATGCTCAAACTGTCCTTTTTAGATTCAATGCTTTTTATTTGACTTTATTTCACGGATTTTCTGTTTGGGTGACCACCAACATCCAAGACAGAACAATGGAAGCTTTGTTTCAAGATTATCCTTCACTAATATTTTGACTGTGAATGCAACAAAGTACTGTAGTAAGATTTATGTTGTCTCCAATCATCGGCTTGCAGTTTAAAATGTAAAGTTGTTTCTTCAAAGGAGTCTTTTTCTTTCAAGATGTCTGCATAAGTTTACAGATTGTTCCATAAGACACCTACCCATCTCCTACACTAAACCAAACCCTCACTCTGATTTTATTTTTGCTTTTCCTTTATATCTGCTGTTTGAAACTGATTCCATTTACCCTTGTAATCTTTTTCTCGGTACTGTATATATGTACCGTCTCGATATTCCTATCTTTATAATTACAGTAATCCCTCCCCAACTACAGTTCACCAAAAACTGATTTGAGTATCTTAATTTTATATTTTGTACAGTATACCATTTCACCAACCACGGTATCCAGTTTTAAATATGTGTGGGTTTCAATGGAAAACAAAGGAGATTTCTAGCCAGGCACAACAAGAATGTTTACTGAATCAAGTCTATCAAGCGGTTTGTCTTGTTTGCTTCATTGGGTATCTGTTCCTCAAACAAAACTGTAATATCATCCACCATGCCTATGTCCTCCTCCTTCTCTAACACTGGACCACGGATGACATCATTTAAAATACTTATGCTAGAGTGTGGATGATGCATATTGGGTCCAAGAATTTAGAAATTCATTAAGAATCCATCTTTGGGTCTATCGGTACAGTAATGGTGTTAAACTTGTACCAGTGTGTGAAACATGCTTACAAACAAAAAAATATATCTATATTATGAGCAATTTTAATGTTTTAATTACTGCATGTTTCTAAATATTTATAGCAACAATCAACAAACTTGCAAAATGGTAATATTACCATTATACTTTACTATACTATTTGGTGTCTGTAGTATTACAGTATATAACAATCATATACAGTACTGTACAAACAAATACACAGTACTGTACTGTACTTCAAAAAATATTAACTTCATCTAAAAATAAAATCAGAAATCTAAAGTTAGTATAAACATTTATGTGTGGCTGACGGACAGCTGACTGTCCCTCATTTACCTGGGGGTTGTTGTGTCCTGTGTGCAGTCTTATATTTTGTAAGGTTAAAGAGCATTGTTGTAACACCGTCTTGACTTGCTACCTTTCCTAATATATTCTTGTTGTCCGCAAACTTTTGACAATGTGGCTCAAAATACTATATATCATCCATGTCATTTATATAGATCACAGACAGGGTTGCCCTAAAGATTTTTTTTTAGTTATATTGTTCTTACATATATCGAGGCCAGGCGCTTGGAGTGGAGGGTAAGATAACTGACAGCTCCATTACACTGTTTTTATTTGTTTTTCTGGTACCTCTATAGTGTACAGTATTATATAATTCTTGATACTGTTTACAGTATAATACAAGGGTCACTTCCCCTAACTCCTTATATGCCATTAGACCCAGGCCTTGCCATAAACCCAGCAGTTAGTGAGGGATTACTGTACAGTATATGTTTTTCATTTTTGGAAGCCCTTTCTCAGTATGGTGGGGACCAGGCAGTAACACACTCCACCTTCATCCTCTCCCAGTAATGTTCTGCTATGAGCTACTTCTTCCACAATAAGGCTCCAACTAGTTTGATTATATCTCCTTATACAACCAATTTAAACTATAAAACCAATCTGTCCTGTGTCTTCTGATCATACAAACACATTACTGCAGCTTAGATGTCTCTTCTCCTTCCATGCAGCAACTGTAGTATACTGTGTCTCATATTAATGTCTTATCTTCTTCATGCTGTCCACTCCTCCAAGGTCATACCTACTGTTGTCAAAACCCATCTTTAATGTACAGTATGTACTCTAATAGGAGGTTTGTGATAAGAAACCAAAGTTTGACATACAGGTATTTATAAAATAATGTGAACTGCACTCACCCTGCCTGTCATCTTACAACACTACCCTTGCAAGCCCATTCTAACTATTGAGCAGAGCATGAGGGCCAGCACACACCCTCCCAGTACTCAATCTGATTTATTCCTGCTAATTGCCTTATCAGAAAGTTTCACTTGTAATGCATTAGACTTGATAAATAAAAAAAAATGGCAGCCAAGGGGTATTTAGGTTCAATAGATACTGTAACAGAAATTGGTGCCTAAGTGACACCTTTTCACTTGAAAATACAGTACAGTACAGTACAATACAGTAGTGCACAGTACAGGGAAGCGTCGTTTAGCGATCAGGATGCGTTCCTGAAAAACAGATCGCTGAGCGAACAGAAACGAGAAATGTTATCTTAAATAAGGGATAACGAGGAATAATATCCGTGGAGATGGCACGTAATTGTGTAGCAGAGTCGCTGACTCTCACCACCCAGTAGCAGTCAGAGCGGGTGAGGCTGAGCTGTGAACTGAGTTATTGTTCATTTCGTAATTTTGGGTAGATATACAGACTTTTCTTAATTGTCTTTTACTCTGTTACATGCACACACAATCATTCATACAAAACGTGCCCAAAAATAAAAATAATAATAATAACCATCATACGGCCAAAAACATAAAGAGAATAAACAGTTCTTTCGTGGTCCACAATTAGCCAACACAGTAGAAGAGGAGGACTACTGTTGCTAGGGCAGTAACTTACTCTCAGAATCAGAATGTCGACACCACCACCATCAAAACAACCACTATCACCATCAAAACCACCACCACCCTCCTGTTCAGATATGCACCAAGCTGTTCCCTAGTGCCGCTTCGTGGATTCTCCCCTGAAGTTCAAGTTTGTCAGTATTTTAACGAAAGGAAGGACTTACTCCTTCCCTGTGTGGTACATTCTCTTTTTTTAGAGCATGTCTCCTCTTTACACTGATGGTTCTAAGTCGGGACAGAAGTCTCCCCACTACGGCATCTATTTTTATGGCAGAGCTTTCGGGTGTTTTACTTTATCCAACCTCAGTGTGATTGTACAATTTTTAGCAATTCTCGTAGTGCTCTCCAGGCCTTAGCTCATAGAAACTAGAAGCAGTACATTGATAAATCAATTGTTAAAGTTTGAAAAAAAAATGATCAAGAAAGATAAGGAAATATTTGATCATGAAAGAAAAAATTATTGACTCCATAAATATATGAGTATAGTAAGTGTGTGGTCATGAGTCATCATACTGTATATTAGTAAGGTGGGAATAAGAGCCAAGAAGTGAACTACAGTACAGTAGTTCATTGTTACACAAGGAGGAGTCAGATTTAAACATATAGAAACCATAAAGTAAAACAAACACAAACTATAATTTTGGTATAAATAAAGATTGATTATCTTCACTTCTTTAGCAACTTTATATTATTGTACAGTACTGTACTTCATTTTCTTGTTGTGTGTGATTCATACAAAGCGTAGAGGAGCATAATAATGAAAAATTCATATGAAAACCCATTAAGATACAGTACTGTACTGAATGTTTCCAACTGTTCATATAGCTATATTGTGACGATCACCGGTAAAATACTGTATAGGCATCTATTGAGTTTTAAAAGGGTTATGTGCCTCACAAGTTGTCTCTAACTCAAAACATATTTTTTTCTCATTGACATCCATTAAGTATACAGTAATTAGAAATGCATTCTTATGGATGAAAATATTCCCCAAAACATAATAACATAACTTAAGATTTTTTTTATAAATATTTTCTATAAAGTCTGTACCAGTAATACATTATTTCCATTTCTAAGGTGAAAACGTGTATGGTAACCGGTATGTCAGCGGGCGATGGTAACGGAGGCTACAAATTCACTTATTTTATGGTTATAAATACTATAACCTTCCTCAGTCACTTCTGGCCATACAAACAATATAGATTTATTAACCCTTTAAGCCAAGGCATCGTAAGGCCCGCCGTACCCCCAACGCAGGCATATTTTGGCCAAAAACCCCCCACAATTAAATAAAAAAAATCTTACAAAACTCAGTGTCACCTTATAAAAGGGCTAATCAATATATGGAAAAAACAAACAAAAGAATGCAGTTACATTCAACTTTCATTGTGGCATAGTTGGAGAGTTGTCTGGAGTGTTGTTGAGCAGTGTGGAGTGATCAAAGATGAGGCTACCGTGCACACCCCAGAACAAGTGATGTTAATGCTAGGGATGCACCGCAACCAGAATATTAAGTTCCTGCTGGAATCGGAACTTTAAATGTTGTTTAAATAAAAAAAAAAAGAATCAGCTTCATGACACCCAGAAACGCTAATATGATATTATTGGTCTTTGTCTCGGTTTTTAAACTAATTTCTAAAACTAAAGCCGTGAAATGAAGCTCAAGTCGGCCACTTTGTTTTATGTGCTTTACTGTTTTTTACTTGTTTTTTTATAGAGGAATACAACAATGCTTCAAGGTAAGATTCACCTTGTATAGTATTTTTCCCAAACTGTTGTCATATCACCTAAAATATATTAAGTTTTGCATTTAAGTTGTTTTATAAGTGCTGTACATGGAAAAATAATAACTTGTAAAAAAAAATCAATCGATGGGAAGCCACGAATCTTTGACAGGTATGTTACAGGACACAACCAGTCACACAGTACGCGTCCAGTACTTGTTTAGTTTCACACTCAAGTCAGCTCACCCAGCCCAGCTGCCTCACACATGAGGTGGACGTAAGGAGGCATGTGTACCATACAGTCGGTAAAATAAGGAGTTACAACCAGAGGTGTGGACTGATGAGTACTGAATTAACTGAAGGTCAAATTCATGAAACAGTAACAAATATCACAGTAAAAAGTTCCGGCTCTGGCCGGTTATTTTTCTAAAGTTTCGGCCGGAACCGGAACTTTGTAAAAATTGAGGTTCCGGTGCATCCCTAGTTGACACACACTTGCAACATACAATTCTTATTTAAAGGCCCTTTTATATAATATTTCTCTCTTATAGTTACTACAAAAGACAAAATATTTATATTTTCCTCAAAATACTGAACACGGGTCAAAGGACGTGCATCCATCATGATAGTTTCTGGGTAACTGACCACAAGTCTTGAGACAAAGGTTACTGTAAGTGAGAGATGAGTTGCCAATTAAACAAATGTCCAATACATACAAAGTACAGTATTTCGTTACGCCAGGACATTCAAAATCTGCCGCAAAAATTAAGAATGTTGATGAACGTCGTCCGGGCTTTAAGGGTCGATAACTTGTAACAAAATAATTCTGCACATAATAAAGGGTAAACCAAAACATTGCAACTCTACAAAACAAATAAATGTCGCACACAAATACTTCACAAACGTAACTGATTTTTATAAGTCAAGGATTTACAGTGCACTGGCAGTGGTAGTGAGCAACCATTTGGGTTTACATTGTATCTACTCACACCTCCCCAGATGTTTAGGTCCTGACAGGCATCTGGGACTGTCCCTCTGTCAGAGGAGGCACAGTACAGTACATGTGGAATATGTGTCATTCTTCATCACTTCCTTCCCTCTATGAGAGGAGATGAGGTATGCATGGCTAGTGTCAGTGACCTTCCCTCCGTGAGAGGAGATGAGGTATGCATGGCTAGTGTCAGTGACCTTCCCCCTGTGAGGGGAACTATGAGAGCTAGATAAGTAATTCTGTGACAGGTCAATATAACCCCACATGCAGGATCTAAATTGGTATACAGAAAAGTTGCTTGCAAGTGCAGTTGTCAAAATTGCAAACAAGAAAACTAAAATTTAAAGGTCTTCTGTATATGATAAATATTAATTGTGTAAAAAAGATTCAGTGACAGCATTTGATAACATCATACAGGTACTACATGTTATTTTAGTTTACAGGTACTGTACTGTACAGTAGTTTAAAGTATATACAGTGGTCCCTCGGTTAACAAACACAATTGGTTCCACAGAGTTGTTCGTTAACCGAATCTATTGTTTCAATGGAATATTGGGTAATTGGTTCCAACTCACAGAAAAGTACATACAAAGTATAAACAAAATGCAGTACAGTGTATTATTGTACACTTACTTTGAGGTGTGGATGAAGAATGACCAATAATTTTAATGTAAAAATGTAAAAATATTCAGGAGATCAACAAATTCGATGTTTCCTCCACTAAACAAAGTTTAACTGAGAAGCTTTGGCGGGTGAGTCAAGCGGCTGATGGGCGCACAAAAACTAGTTCCCTGTACTGCATATATTATCAATATGTTAACTAAATTTTAGAATGATTAATAATTTTAATATAAAAAATGCAAAAATATTAAAGAGCACAAACATAGAACCAATTACTGTATTGGCGGACTAGCCGATCAGCTGATGGGCACAACAAAACGTGTTTCTCGTAAGGCTGTCGTTAATTGAAGTTTTGTTCGTTAATCGAACTGAAAATCCTTATGGGAGCTAATTCATTAACCGAAATTTCGTTAATCGGACTGTTCGTTAACCGAGCGACCACTGTATTACAGTACTGTACATATACAGTACAGTATTGTGTTGAAATTTTGGAGGGTGGCATGATTTCTACAAAAAATTCTTCTATTTTCTTAACTCTGGAAGCTTTCAAAAGATTTTCCATGAACACAAATTTGTCTTATGTATCAAGACTCATTTCATCCTTTCTGGACTCCGTTGATATGAATTTCCATAATTTGAGTGTCTGTAACTCATAGGATGCCAGTACAGCCTGCTTACAGTACTGTATTGTATATACAGAGTATAATATATTCTTAATATAATCAGGAAGTATCAGTG